CAACTTTGCATTTGAAACTACCTTATTTTTGCTTAAGAAACTCAGTTCTGTTTTAGTGACTTAGACACCTGTGTAACTGGGAAGAAAAGGGGGGGGCAGAATTGTTCATGCTGGAGAAGCAGCATAAGCCTTCAAAGTGAATTTTTCTTCATTGTCGTGGTTTAACCCCAGCCAGCAACTAAGCACCACACAGCTGCTCACTCATGTCCCCCCAGTGGGATGGAGGAAGGAATCAGAAGAGCAAAAGTGAGAAAACTCATGGGTTGAGATAAAAACAGTTTAATAGGTAAAGCAAAAGCTGTGCACGCAAGCAAAGCAAAACAAGGAATTTATTAACTACGTCCCATCAGCAGGCAGGTGTTCAGCCATCTCCAGGAAAGCAGGGCTCCATCATGCATAATGGTTACTTGGGAAGATAAATGGCATAACTTTGAATGTCCCCCCCTTCCTCCTTCTTCCCCCAGCTTTATATGCTGAGCATGATGTCATATGGTGTGGGATATCCCCTTGGTCAGTTGGGGTCAGCTGTCCCAGCTGTGTCCCCTCCCAACTTCTTGTGCACACCCAGCCCACTCGCTGGTGGGGTGGTGTGAGAAGCAGAAAAGGCCTTGACTCTGTGTGAGCGCTGCTCAGCAATAATGAAAACATCTCTGTATTATCAACAGTGTTTTCAGCACGAATCCAAAACATAGCACCATGCTAGCTGCTATGAAGAAAATTAACTCTATCCCAGCCAATACCAACACATTCCTTCGTCGTGCTCTTGATGGAAAATGCAAGCAGTAATGCTGTAAGCTAAGGAATAACGGTCCTTGTTCCTTGTTTTCTATTTAGTAGAGGAGGAGTCCTGTGAACTCATTCAGCTCTTTGCATGGTAACCAAAGGTGGCACCTGCTAGGGGGACAGCAGGGTCCTGGCAAGCTCTTCTGTCCTTCTCGGGGACTTGGGGCTCTCTCTGCATTGCGCATATTTGGCTTTGCCTGAGTTCAGCATGTAGTGGGTTTCAATTGGGGTGTTACCATAGCATCCTGGGACTTTTACAATCTATTTAGAAGTCCAAAGGTTTGAAAAGAGTGCTTGAAAGTTTCTGAACTCTGGCAAGTTGCCAAAATGTAATTACACAAAAGACAAAGCCTTACTGAAAGCAGCTCTGTTCAGAGAAGCAGCACCTGAGTGCTAGCGTTCCCAGCGTAGCCATTTCTGAGACCTGGGGCTGTTTTATCACAGTGTTCTCCCAAAACTTTTTTTCTTCCTCGCACGTGCACGTGCCATGCCACAAGCATAGACTGGGTGTGCTGCAAGACACAGCTTTCTCAGCAGTGGCATTGGAAGAGACTCTGTTCTGTGGTTTGGCTGCTCTGGGGCATATAAAGCAAAGGAGTGAAAAAGTAAGCGTCTTGAAGTCCCTACTGTAAAAGTGTCTTTAGATCTTCCCATCGAGCGAGAACCTTGCTTTATTTTTCTCTCGTCTTTCTCCAGAATATTCTCACAAGTGAATGGGAAAAGCCATTTTGTTAATGGAGTACCCAGTTGCGTAACGATTCTTGTGTGAAATATGAGTGTTTGCAGTGAACTGGTGTTAACTAATGAATATTCAGTTCAATTTCTAGTCTCGGTTTCAGCATGACAAATAAAAATCACATCATTAGTAACTTTTGTTAATGTTCTAATTTGCCTCCTCTATTTACTGGTAATGTAGAGGGCCGGGGCAACCATTATGTCTGCAATAGGAGGCTTGGAGACTTGCAGAGTTGTCCAAAGCTTTCTTCTTGAAGGAATCTCTTGCAGATGGCTGCACTAAAGGCCTAAAAGGGGGAAAGGAGAAGTTAACCAGAGAAGTGAAAAATTATTTTCCCTGCTTCTGTGTCTGGTTCAGAAACCTATTTCTAAATGATTGAGGACAAACGAATACCTTTTTGAGATACCCTTGTTTGTTCTAAGTCTTTCTCCTGCAAATGTGCTGATAAGCTCTGACCACCTAACTTTGCTAAGGGTATGAGTTGTTCAGTGAGAGGAAGGCAGATAGAGGGAAGACTGCGCAATCCTAAGGGAAGAATCTCAGCAGCTGTTAAACTTGCTGAGAATGTTTGAGCTAAGTTTGTTGCTTTGCTGTTGGTTTCTTGCTTACTTAAGCCATTCCTCGGAGTCTGCAGCTTGTTTTATTTCTGTGTTCAAAAGAAACTGGAAAAGACATCTGTTCACATGTATATAAAAATCGTAGGTAAGGTGTTGGTGATACTCCCTACATGCTGTTGGAATACCTGCAACAGCTTTGGGTCATCACTGTTTCTTTTTCTTCCAGAAGGGTTTACCTGCAAGCTGTTACTACTTGCCACATTGACAGTAACTTCACCTCTGGGCAATTGTTCAGGAAAAGGTGGCCAAGTTATTTTTGTACTGCCCACCTAGCCATGATAAAGGAATTTTAAAATATATAGTTTGTTCAAAATGTATAGTGTTCTTGTCTCTTGTAGTGATCTTGACCCTGCCTGAGAATAGATCTGTTGATTTGTCATTGGGCTGCTTGCTGGATAGCTCCATCACAGGCTGGCTCCTTTGAGCTGAGCTTTTACAACTTAAAAAAAGGTATTTATAAAGCAGGGTCTCTGAAATGCAGCATCTTAACTGGGATAAAATTCTGACTCCCATGCTCACAAACTTGAGCTTTTGGGGAAAAATTCTTCCATTGTGTAGTTAAAGAAAATCTTATTGCAAGAAATGAGGAATGAAAGAAATATTGTACCTCTTTTACTCAACTAGCTGGCGGCACTTGGCTGTCCGCACATCCAGGTGTGCTGGTGTTCCAACATATCCACCCACTCTTTTAACTGAGTAAGCAACAACAAATGATATCATACCCTTCTGCCTGCTAGGGTTAGAGCCATCCCATGCTGAAAATGCAAGTGATTTGAGTTTTCACTTATTAGAACTAAGGAGTAATATAGTAGGGCTGTCTGCTGTGAATTAATAGCATGTTAGCTTCATGTCTGGACCTTTCCATTACAGTCGTGCCAGGATCAGCTTCCAGACGTTGGATGTACTGTACTTGTTCTGAGCAACATAATTTGGTGCATTTAGTTGTATTGTTGTGCCTTCATCTTCCTTCTCTTCCTAAACGTCTCCCTTATGTGTGTCATCTTTCTGAAAGCTGTCTTCTCCTATTACACCAAGTTTCTTCTTTTTCATTCATATCCCTCTTTTCTCTATCAGCCTGTCAAATCATCAGCAAAAGAATGCAAATAGGAAATGAAAAAAGTCTTACAGGCTGTGATTTGGGATGAGAAGATCTGAAATCCCATTTCCAGCTTTGTCACAGACATCTTGTGGGACTTCATGCAAGTTACTTTACCTTACTCTGAACTCATTCACTCTAAGTGCTACAGCACTTTGTAATGAATACTGCTTACTTGCAACGATAGTCATGGGAGCCCTTTCGTGTACTTTTGGCATATTTTGATCAGGCACATGACTTATTTACTTTAATCTCTTGGGACAATGGCTGAGCTTTCCTCTGGTTTGTACAGCATTGGTGCATGAACAAGGCTTCATAAATACAACATAATATATTTGTCCATGATATTTACAGAAAGAGTATTCCTAATTCCAGGATTCAAGAGTTGTGAGTGTTTCTTAATCTTAATGTGATTGTACTTATTTTATTTGAGTTGCATTTCCTTCTGGGTAGGAGGGCAAGAAACAGTGTTCTGCACCTTGCTTTCAACACATGACAAAAAAAACCCCCAACTATTTACTGCATGTCTTTGAGAAACAGGACATAAAAAAACAGAAATTGTGATTCTTTTCTGAAAAATTGAATTGGCTTCTCTCCACCCCACCCCCCCCCCCCCCAAGTTGTTACATGACACTTTAATTTTGCTCAACTCTGTCTGGTATAATTCTCTTTCAAATGCGAGACCCTTTTCTATACTATGAAGGATAAAGTGATTTAAACTATTTATATTTAAAGAGATTATTTAAAATTGCAAACTGAAAGGGTTCACACTGACTAGTGGATTTTGTCTGTTGCGGAGATGCTACCTATGGAGAGGTTCTGCTGTGATGAAAGTAAACTTGTATCTTTTCATTAATTCTCTCCTATGTGGGAGAGTTAAGCTGCTGTCCCAAGTGAATGTTTTTAATGATCTCTCTGGAGTGTTTGAAAGCTTTGTCCCACTTGCACGATGCGGAGTGAAATGCACAAATCTATCTTTGAGGCAATCCTGTCATTATACCTTTTGGTATATAATGTTTGTATTTGCATTTCTATTGTTCTTGCATGTTGAGCTTTACCATGCCCAAAGGAGAGCTTCTTACACTTCAGAGAAACCTTTTTAAGACAAATATTTATTATAAGTTAGCCTAAAGTGCTTACAACTCAAATATGAGAAATTTGTACTGAAATACAAGAATGTGAATATCAAATTGACTATCCATCATAATGACCAGCTACTCTTTTCAAAATGCCCTAGTGCAAAGTATCATTTAGTGAAGTGTCAATCTGCTTTTCATGACAACTGAAGTAGATTTCGTACATCCAATACAGTCAAGTTTCAGTAACTTAGAAATGAAATCTCGAGGCTTCTGCTAAAGAAGATTTTTTTGTTTGTTTTGTGGCTTCACGGAAAACTGTGATGAGAATAGTAGTGAAGTTCAAATGGTACTGAAAGAAAGGGCATCTTCTGGTCAGATAAACAACAGTTACTCTTGGCCACCCACTTCCCAATGGATTGGTTTCAAATAAGTGGCTCTTGGACACCCCTTGCTGGGATTCTTTAGAATGAATTTTACTTTCACAAACCTCTAATTCCTATAATTAAGTTCCAACGTGTGGTTTTTGCAAATAGTATTCTCTCTAGAGAACAGATGGGTGTAAGCTTTGGAGATTTGGTTTCACAAAATGTAACTGCCAGTGGTTTTCTTGCTACTGTTCCAGCTGGCCCCAGAACATTCACATCGGTTCAGCTTTCTAACGTTCTCTTGTTTTGACTTTATCTCCGCAGTTTTAATAGCGTGCGTCAAGGAACACACATCTTGTTCCGTGAGTTCAGCTTTGTTCAAGCTACCCCTCATAACAGGGCGTCTTTTCTTCGGACCTTCTGGAGGTGTTTCCGAACAGTGGGGAAAAACGGAGGCAAGTATTCCAGCATCTGCTGCTGTCCTGTTACCATGACATTAAAATAATTATCTAGGCTATTAATGCAGTACAAATAGTGACACTTCACACTGTGTTCTAGTGTTCTAACATTGTTAATAGAAAGACACCATCACAGTTGCCTGTGGAACAGTTAAAAAATGCTTGTAGCATAAAGTAGTGTAGGAGCACCTTGTTGCCAGTGCTACTTCCATTACAGAACAGGATGTCAAGCAACAATAGATCAGAGGGAGGACATTTGTGGGCCTGTGCATGAGGATGGATAAAAAAACCAAACCAAAACAACAAAAAAACCCCAAAGAAATGTGCTGAGGGTTGGTGGATGGGAGCAGGGTAGTGGACCCGGAGATGTTTACAATATAGGGTATGGAGCATGAGGGAAGTAGGTGTTGAGATTATTAGGCAGTTGGGGTGCCAAGTGCTTTTACTAGGAGCCCTGCTGGAGGTAGAGTATGTAGTGGTGTTGGGCTGTAGGGTGGTGAACGCTGCCACCCGAGCTGTGCCTGAGCTAGTCCTGGCACATCTCCTAGAGAGTGTTGCAGAATCCTGATGGCTGTGGAAGGGGGACCACTGACAACTGTGTGACCCCTTCCCCAACCCTACCCACAAAGAAAAAGCTCCAATGCCAAAATAACTATTCAGCATTGTACTATCTTGTCTAGCTATTCTTATACCGCACTTGGTATATTAGGTATTACAGAACTGGCCAGAGTTCAAAATAAACTCATGTAACTACATGCAACTAAAATTATGTATCGTTTTAGTTTTTAATTTAGTATTTTAGGCAAATACACTGAATGTTGCTGTACAAATATGAATTTTGGTGGGTTTTTTTACTATAAGCCTCACTTTTTGTTGCAGGGAAGACTAGAACCATTCTTTTAAATATAGATAAAACCTCACCTTCTGGCTAAGCTTTGCAACAATTTTGCTCATGATGAACAGAGTTTGCAAGATTATGAATAACGACTTGACTTTTTTGACATATGCTATTTTAGATCCTTGGAAATTAGACAATCATAGTTAAACATGACAAAATCTGTAATTAGCTACTGAAGTGACTGATTATGCTGTCTGTAACACCTTCTTCCCAGTGACAGGTACTTTGTTACATTCTAAATCATTTATATTAGTTCAGGGATAATATTTTTAAGATTTCAGGTAAATCGTATGGTATTAATCTAACCAGTATGCAGTGAGGACATATCTGATTTGAGGTCAGGTCATAGTCAGGAAAGATAGACTCCTAGAATGTATTTCTGTAGGAGAGTTAGAGATGATAGTGAAGAAGTCATCCACCAGAACTGTAGCTGTCAGTGGTGAACCTTGTTGACAAATTGAGAAGAAGCTATCTGATGGAAAGTACCCACTGCTGTACTTTCAATGCAAGTTTTCATCAAGCTTCATCTATCGATCGATCTATCTATCTATCAATCAATCATCTGATTCAGCCAGATGATAGGCACCTGGATTTGTTGGAAAGAACCAAAAAGTTTTAGCTACATAATATTTCCCTTCTCTTTTACTTTTAACGGTTTTATGTGAATATGAAAAAGGTTCTGGAAGAAAATGTAATCGACAAGGTACTTTGAAGGGGAAGGGGGAGCACAGGAACAAAAGCTCATGTGGATGTTACTGTGCTCTGGTTGTGGCTTTAAAAGAGTTCAACATATATTTTTCTGACTTTGAAGTCCAGTGGCTGCACTTTTTAGTCTGAGCGAACATGGCATGTTTACCTGTAAATTTATACATTTATATACATTTTCTTTTTACATTAACTAGAGACAGAAATGCATCACTTTAGAGAGCTTGCTGTCAATATATTCATCCACTCAGTCCAATTTCTTTGATTCTCTAGCAGTAGTTACAGACTAGAACCTTGATTTTATTCATTTCAGTTTTATTTGCTATGGGATTTTTTTCTGCTATGTATATATTCCCCTGCATAGGGGATCTCGGAACATTCATGGTCTCTCAAGAACTAAACTCATAGACTAAGAAGAAGCTGAATCTGTGCAATGTGGTGGGTAAAATACGGTCATTACCACACTCAGGCATAGACTAGACCTGGATTTCTTTCCTTGAAATACATTGCTTTTAGATGCGGGAAGGAATCATGTTATACCACAAATAGCAGCAACTAGAAGTGAGGTCATTGGTGATCTAAACTACAGAATGAGTCTCTTAACGATAGAAAAAGTCCGACTAAGTGATGCCCAAAGCAAGTAAGACTTTCAGCTTGGAGCTTTCTTTAGAAACATGGCTGGTGGTACATCTTCTAATTGGATTATTCCAGCAGTTAGTTTTAAGTTGTTTCTTTATGATCACTGCACTAGAACACAAGACCATATGTACATATCAAATGAAAAGCAGTTATACAAGCTTGCATAAAATCGTGACTTTATCTACAGATAGTTTGTTGCTACAGCATTTCATTTTATGCTTATACAATTTTTGACAATGTAAACATTGTAATAGGTGCAGGAGTGTCTTGGCTTTGTGTGGCAAGGTTTTGGTAGTGTGTGTGTGTGTGTGTATGTGTGTGTTACAGGGGTGGCTTCTGTGAGAAGCTGCTAGAAGCTTCCACTGTGCCTGATAGAGCCCATGCCAGCCGGCTCCAAGACGGACCCACCACTGGCCAAGGCTGAGCCCATCAGTGACAGTGGTAGCACCTCTGGGATAACATATGTAAGATGGGGAAAAAGTTTCTGCGCGACAGCAATTGCAGCCAGAGAAGGCAGTGAGATTATGTGAGAGGAACAACTCTGCAGACACCCAGGTCAGTGAAGAAGGAGGGGGAGGAGGTGCTCCAGGTGCTGGAGCAGATATTCCCCTGCAGCCCGTGGTGAAGACCATGGTGAGGCAGGCTGTCCTCCTGCAGCCCATGGAGCTTAACTGTGGAGGAGATACCCACATGCAGCCCGTGGAGGACCCCACGCCGGAGCAGGTGGATGCCCGAAGGAGGCTGTGACCCTGTGGGAAGCCCGCGCTGGAGCAGGCTCCTGGCAGGACCTGTGGACCCGTGGAGAAAGGAGCCCATGCTGGAGCAGGTTTGCTGGCAGGACTTGTGA